TTAGAAAAACATTTAGTTACTTTAGTAATTCATTATACTTATAATGGAAGGTTTCGTCCTATCCTACCCGTTCGGCTAACGACCCTCCACTAGTCAAGAGTGCGGTGGGTAAGAGTGGATACCCATTCAATCGCCATTTTATAGGCAATTTCCTTAAACACCCTTATAGACCAGCTTCGTGAATGAGGCCTACTAACGGTAAGACTGACTTTTACTCATACATATATATAATGTTAGACTTTTAATGTTATATATATATATATATATATATATATATATATATATATATATATATATATATATATATATATATATATATATATATATATATAGTTGTCAAATTTAACAATTATACTTTTAATTCAATTAAATTGCAAACCTAAACTTTTATGGATTTATTAAACTTCTTTTAATTATACACCTTAATTAATTAATAAAACCATAAGGGTGTAAATTGAACTTTTCAAAACATTACTAGGGTTTTAGAATTTAACATTCCTAATTAAACTTTTAATCAACTTTTAAATTCAAAAACTTGAGGGCAAGTTTTGAAACCTTTTTCAAAACATTAGGGTTTTAACTATTTAAATTTCAAAACTTCAAAACTTTTGGGTTCAAATTTAAACTATAAAACCTAAAGGGGAAAATATGAAACTTTTCATAACAACAAGGATCAAATAACAAATAATTTTAAATTAACATTTAATCACATAATTATCCATATTTGATTTATTTAATGATTTCTTGCAAAACAATTTATCAATTTACTCAAAATAATTAATCAATTATCTTATAAGGAAATAATTATCTTATTAATTGATAAATATCTTCATTTAGATAAAAAAATATAGTCAAATATATCATATAATCGGATTAATATTGATCTAACATGATAAGGTAACTATCCATATGCAAAAACAACAAGAAATCCCGAGATAAGCATTATCTGACAAGTTGACTCGTCGAGTCGGGCGTGGACTCGTTGAGTCTGCATGGACTCGGCGAGTTCAGCTATGGACTCGGCGAGTCCAGCCCCTAGAACACCAAAAATCGAATTTTTTTTGATATGCAATGCATCAATACAATTGAAACCATCCTAGACTCTGATACCACTGATGGGTTTTGGTCATAAGACATCCTATGTGCTCATACAAACCCTAATGCTTGGATCTAGGTTTCTCTATTGTACATGCTTTGAATCCAAGACTATAAACCCTAATTCTAGCATATGGAAATCGATATTAACATATAATTAGGTTTAAGATGTTACCTTGATTGTTATGTAGCAATAACAATCCTAATTCCTCCTAGAATTAGCTTTGGAATGCTTAGAGTCACAAGTGTCACTCCTCTAATGGTTTACAAACACCAAGAGCAAATGGAGAAGGTATAAAGAGAGAGAAGAGAGGTTAGAATTCGTCCTTAGGACTCCTTGGGAAGGGATACACGAATTCATGAGCCTTAGGGCCTTTATATAGGTGTAGAGATAGGGTTTCAGTCATTATCCTTATCTAGTTGCTTATCCACAAAGCAACCCATAAGATAATCCTTGAATCCTTATCATAGTCGAATTCTAAGGCCTTATCACCTCAAATTCGTTCACCCTATATTTAAGATAATCCTTACCTTATTTTGTAACTATCACATAATTACAAATCAGCCCCTCTAGTTTAATTAATTACACTTGATCACAAAATTAATTCCTAATTAATTATTGACCAATATTAATTAAACAAATATGATTTCTCCTTTAATATATTATTCTTATAACATATTAATAAATCATATTATCCTCTCTCTCTATATATTTCTCCAATCAAGTTGCTTTGGTGAAGGCAACCCAAAAGGACCATGCACCATCGGGTCAAGTACATACTAAAATAGTTATGGACTTAGACACTAATCCAACACGAACTTGGTCAAAATAATTACTCAAAATAACCTTAAAAATGAATTAAAATGAATTGTTCTAACATATCATGTCCAATGAATTTGTTTTAGACTGAATGTTAAAAATCACCTCAAAAAATGTTTTTTTTTTATTTATTATTGTAGTGAATTATTTTTGGGTCAATTGTATAAACCATTTATAACCTACTGATTTATTTTAGTTTCATGTTTTTGTATAATTAAGTGTTTTTGTTTAATTATGTTTCAATTTTACTTATTCATTAGAGGGAAATCTCTGATAAAGGCTCAATAATTTGGATCAGTAACGGTTTAAACACAATGATCAGAAAAGTCATGATTAACTAATTTCATACGATAATTAGTCATTTTCTGTTGAAAAAAAAATAATGATTGTTTCGTTAATTTGGGCAAATTATAAAATAATCAGAACTTTTACGTTGAAAAAAGAAAAGATCGGACAAAATTGTAAATTGACCTAAAATATTGGGACTGTATTGAAGATTTCCCTTTATTATATATAACATTTAAAGTTTTATTATATTATTTTTTTCATTTTGATTCCCTATTAAATTAAAATTTGCAATGGTCGCAGTTATTTATTTATTTACATAAAATGACAAAAAAAATCATTTATAACTTTAGGATTTTAGATAATAATTTTTCAGGAAAATCCTTATATTATGGACTTATTAACGATAAAATCATTGATTTTGTTAAAGGAGAAAAAAAAATATTATCTTACTATCTTCTCTTTGTCTTATATACGATTCTATCCAACTGTAATCTTATAGTATTATCTTTGTCTTATAAAATATTTGTCTTACTGAAATCTTATTTTGTTCACTTTGTATGACATAGGGTATTTTTTTTTTACTGTAATCGTATTGTATTCTGTTTGTGTGACAGATAATATTATTTTGTTGTGATGTTATTGTATTCTTTTTGTTTGGCATCGAATATTATATTAGTATAATCTTATTTTATTCTATTTGTACGATAAATGGTACTATCTAAATGTAATTATAATGTATTCTTTATTGTCAGGTAGAGGATTTCGTATTACTGTAAGATTGCAAGATTAAAACCATGAAGAAAATTTACAATACAATAAAAAAGAAAAAAAAATATATTTTCAGATTATATAAATATAGTATTTAATAACTTGTTGTACTTTTTAGTAAAAACCAATGAATGTTGCCTAAATTGACAAAATGTTTGTATGTATCATATAATGAGACAATTTGGGAATCCAAAAGGTAAACCGGATAATAACATCCGTATCTATACATGTAAATCTTTCAAATTGTAACGTGAATGTGTGAACAAACAAGTAAAATACATATAACGACTAGGATTTCCTATTATTATCAAATGAGAAATACAATTATAATAAAAAAAAACATAATTTCAGACCAGTTAATTTGGGTTTTCCTAGCTAATGGGCCAATATAATATCCAACACAAAATAAAACCTAAAATCTTATTAATGTAATGCAAATCTTCTCATGTTGAAAAGAGAATTTGTATCCTCCAACATGAAACCACAGCTCTTCATTATCATGGCCACAACATACCCGAGACAAGAGCATCACATGGACGTATGCCTTGATGGTCTTTTTTTTTTTTCCTGCAGATAACTCTGCCTAAAATCGTATGTTAAAAAGTGTGACTAAATTACACACTTACAACAATGCCTGTAAATTTTCTATGTTTTAAACTTCGAGAGAGTCCCATCAATCTAGACCCAAAATCATGGAACTTAGCCATTAATAGGAAGGGATGTTATTCAGGTCGGAACTGAACCGAACCGAATAAACCGAATACCGAATAAAGCAAATTGTATGAACCGAAAACCGAACCAAATAAGCAATACAGGTTCGGTTCGGTTCGGGTATTATTCGGTTCGGTTCGGTTCCGGCCCAAATAACCCAAATAACATGTGCAAGATGATTAAGGAGTCGAATAACCCAAATAACCCGAATATTTTGTAGTCGAATAACCCGAATAACACTTGTAGTCGAATAACCCGAATAACCCGAATATTTTGTATTACTTTTGAAACTTATGATTTCATAAGTATATAACCCGAATAACATGTACAAAATGATTTTGTAGTCGAATAACCCGAATATTTTGCATTATTTTTGTAGCTTATGATTTCATAACATATATTTTAAAGAAACAAATTAAACACTAAATATTAAACATCCAAAACACCCAAAAATCTATCTATAAGTATATAACCCGAATAACCCAAATAACATGTACAAGATGATTAAGGAATCGAATAAGCCGAATAAATATTGTATTTTTTATGATTTTTGTAGCTTATGATTTCATAACAAACTTTTTAAAGAAACAAATTAAACACTAAATCGACTCACGCAAGGCCGCAAGGGAAAAAAAGACTCTTCATATTCGGTTCGGTTTTTTGGACCGAATAACCCCTTATTCGGGTAACCCGGACCGAATAACCCGAAAACCGAATAAGCCTTATATAGATACCCGAAAACCGAATCGAATTGCTTATTCGGGTCTAATTCGGTTCGGTTCGGGTTTTCGGCCCAATTTCTCATCCCTATTAATAGGTACCAGTTGTAAGCATCTTGACCAATGGAGCTTTAACTAGGGATGAGCAAATGGACCGGGGAACCGGCCGGAACCGGTACCGGAACCGGAACCCGATGGAACCGGTCGGGCCGGGACCGGGACGTTATTTTTGTAGATTTTTGGAACCGGGAACCGGTAGAACCGGCAAAAACCGGAACCGTATGATGCTATTTTTCAAGGACCGGTTCCAACATTTGAAGACACGACAAGAACCGGTAGGAACCGGGAACCGGTAGAACCGCCGGGCCGGTTCGGTTCTTGATTTTGGCCGAAGCCGGTTCCCGGTTCCGGCCGGTTCGGTCCTTTTGCTCATCCCTAGCTTTAACATTGAGACATTAACCGGTGCATTAAGCATGATTACAAAAGTTTCTTTCCTCACCGCTATTAAATGAGCCTAATTACAAGATGAAATACCAGTTCTGGAGCTTCAACTTTGAGTCTAAAACTATTGATGTTGGTCCACAAATCAATCGCATAGACTAATATATTACACATGCTACACTTGGTAACATTAAAATCAAAGTCATTTAGGGCTACAACAAAATGTCTTGCTTTAAATTCACCTTTTGCTTTGTTACTTGAAATGCATAGTCTTAAATGGGTTGCTACTTGCTTTTCATTTCACATTTTGCTTACTATATCGATATTACAATTTAGCCCATCTTTTTTGGTGGTAAAATTGCCAAACATGCTTGTGGGACACCTTGAACTTTGCATATCACTATATTATGGTCTTTGTTTGACACAAACACTTCCAGATGGATCAAGATAGTTATCTGGGTATCAGCATTTTCTCTTCATTTGAAGCATTTAGCATCCAAAAGTGCTTCACCCTCAAAAGGCTCAAAATCTTCAATCATCTGATTCACACGCTCCTTTTGTGCCTCATCAGAAAGGTCAACCTTGGTCCACTCATAAAGCTCCATGTCATAACACTCATCCATCACAAATTTTGGGATTTCAGTCCCACGGAAAAGCCACAAACCCTTGACCTTGAATGGAGGCTCGTTTCCAATAATCAACATCTTTCCAAACGCGTATTTCCTTGCAAGATCCATACGCTGAAGGAATCCACCAACCTTATTCATGGTCACAAATGAGACAGTGTTCTCATCATTGTACTTGTAGTTGCAAAACCAAAGAGAGTATCCCTCTGGATCATACATGTCCCAAAAACCTTCAACAAAATCAATAAATATATAATATATCAGCCAAGTGTTAGTTTGAAAAGACTGATCTTTTAGGAAAAAATAAAAAAATAAAAAATGAAAATACCTTTGATTGCAACCTCACGGAAGTTAGTTTTGGTGTTTGAGTAAAGCCTCTTCCAGTCATCCAAAACCATAGGACTCGGAGGCAATAAATCAAGAGGATTCTTTGCCTTAGGCTTTGGTGCCTCTTCCTCCTCTGGGGCAACTTCAGGCTTGGGTTTAGGGGCTTCTTCTTTCTTGACTTCCTTTTTAGGCTCGGGTTTTGGTTTATCCTCTGGTTTCTTGGCTGAAGGAATAGGAGGGAGAACTTCTGCTTGTTTGATTTCTCCAAATATCTTTCTCACGTTTGGTTGATTAACCATGGTCCAGAAATACCTCTCAACATGAGGAAACTCAGATGTGAAACTTTTTGTAAACAAATATTTAAAACACATTGCAAAGTTGCATGTCATGATGATGTCAGCCAAAGTAACACCATCACCAACCAAGAAAGTATGTGAAGCAAGATGAGTGTTTAAAGCACCTAGACCTCTCTTCACAGCAGCAATATATCTCTCCTCAGCCTTCAAAACACGCACACATAATTATCGTTTGGAAAATTTCACAAAACACATTGAAAAGACTAAAGAAACATAAATGGTGAAAAAAATAAGTTTCAAATCGATAAAAGGAAGCAAAAACAAAAAACAAGAGCATGAGTAACAGTAACTAACAGATTTGATGTAGGTGGCATGCTCAAATATTGGCAAGGCCCATCCCCTCATATTTGCATCGAGCTCCAATGTAGAAAAATCGATCCACTGTTCAATTTGGCCCTGTATAATTTTTTTCAAAAGAAATAGGTAAGCTTTGTTATAACAAGTATCATTATCCCTTCATAATCAGAAAAAACACAAAAGAAAAAACTTACATATTCTATTGGGGAAGAACCAAAAAGAGAATTCCCAGGTTTCAAACGAGCAACTGCAGCATAAAACATAACAAAGTAAGCTCATTACTCAAAAGTCAAAACCAAAAGGAGATTAGAAACAAATCAACAATGGCTTTTTGGTTCATCACCATATCGAGCAATCGCATTACTCTCAAATATAGGGCCCTCAGGAGTCTCAAGAACAGGGACCTGCATCAATGATGAATCATATGGCGTAAAACTAAAAACAAATTTTTGCATTTTGTAGAATGTTTTAATCAGATTATAAATCAGAAAAACAATACCTTTCCAATAGGGTTCATTTTAAGAAACTCAGGAGTCTTATTTGACACACCCATCTGAAAGTTTTCAGCCATTTTGATCTCAACACCAACATATTCTGCCACAATTAATGTCTTGTAAACGTTCTTGTTGTTTGGCCCTGCATGCATAATCTGCAACAGGACACAAGAATGTAAGTTTCAAATGATCGCAAACTGTTAATAAACCTCACACTTTAAAATAGGAAAGCAACAATAGCAGCAGTTTCAAGTTTCAAACAATTGAATTGGATGTATGAATCATAGAAATTAGGTATGATTAACATCTAACATTTCTGGTTGATTATGAAACAAAATCATCCAAATCGACAGGATGATTTAGTACATCACTATAACTACACAGTCGATTGATGACACAAAACAGTAGAGTATCTGAAAATTCTAATGGCTGAGGTATACAATAAATTTCCAGTGAGTTTTTTCATATAACGAACAAAAAAAGAAAGTTAAAATCAGTAAACGAAACAAAACAATCCACGAAGATTGCACATCGAAACCCTCATTCGTACGATTTGTATACAAAACAAGAGAAATCATCACAAACTCCGCACAAAAAGACGTCCAACTTATAAAAACTGATACAGCAACAAACGAATAACTCACCAGCCCCATTGCTTAAGGAACAAACGATCGCTTTTGATAGAGATCTACAGTAATAAAGAAAATTTAACAGTATATCAGGGTGTAAAGAAGAGCAAGAATTTAAATGGGACAATGAGTATATAATTGAGCAGAGAACGTTACCTGGTACGCAGCGTTTACTCCCAAAGCAGTGACAAACAGAAATCTAGGGTTTTGGTATTGAAGTGCACAGGTAGGCAGTAAGACCATCCATACTAGTCTGAGCACTGCAATGCTAACCGGTCTCCTAAACGAAAACATCTCTACAAACACATTCTATTTGTTAATCTCAAAATATAGTTAACATGATTCTCCAAACACTATTTTATTTTACATTTTATCTTTTATATTAAAAAAGTATTCCAAATATATTTATTTCTTTAACTTTTCAAATTTTCATAAATAATTTATCAATTAATAAGGTTCATAAAAAATTTTCTATTTTTTATAGTAACTTTAAAATTTATGTTAATAGATTAATGATAATGTAATATTAGGATATTAATATTGTAATATATATTTATATATGGCCATTTGAAGATTTATTAATTATTATATCATGTCATAAATTATTAAAAACTAGTAAATTTAAAATACATTTGAAACAATTATCATATTTAAAATATAACAATATAATTATATAAACTTAAAAAATGGAGCAAGTTAAATACCAGATATACAAACTCAAATTTAAAGAGCCAAATATCAATTTAAATTCTATTTATAAAGTATTCATTCTAAATTTAAGATGATACTATTAACGATCATATTTTTAGAATTTAAAATATAACAGGTTTTGATAACATTCAATCTCAAAGAAAAAAATCCCTATCATCAAACATAGGATTAAACTGATACTCTAGAATCAAGATTAAGGCATAGGTTAGGGGACTGCATGTTCATTTTCATTAGATACTGAAAAAAAAAAAAAAAAAACTTTGAACAAACCTTCTGCTTGAAGTGGGTCTTTAGAACATGTTGAAGAAATCGATCAAGCAGTTCTTGTTGATGGCAGTCCATGGGAGGGTCTTCAACGGCAATGGGTACAAAGCCCATAATACGCCTTCAAAATGCTGAGTCCAAGAGTGAAGCCACATGGCAGAACACCATTGCTGTATTGTCCGACGATTAGCAACATCGGTGCTAAGCGCCACCAATTGTGTAGTTATGACTGTGTTTCTGTTAATGGCGAACGGAGACACCAGAACACACACAAATTTCTTGGGTACAATGGTTCGATTCCACCGAGAAGAACCAATGACATTGAAAGTAATCATTTCTTGAGTGGAGCAACAAGATTGTAGAAGAGGAGAGAGTCATTGTTTTGTGAAGATCCAGTGGAGTACATTCTAGAAAAGAAGAAGCCGGTGAGATATAGATGAAGTAGAGGCGGTGAGAAAGACACTGAGAAACGATGGAAATGAATCATGGTAAACAACTAACTTACAACTAACCTGAGTTAATGCAATATCATATTCTTTCAAAAATGGTCTCCCCTTAACAACTATTTTATATTTTGACAAAATTGCAAAAATGGTCCCTGTGGTTTGCATTTTTTCAGGAAAAAAGTCCAAACCACGAGTTTTTTGGTTTTGTGGTCCTTTTGGATTGGTTTGTTTGTGAGAATGGTCCCTATACTTAACACCCGTTAAAAAAAATCCGTTAACCCCCTCATGTGCCTTGTACGAGGGTATTTTTGTCTTTTTACTTACAGTGTCAACACTTCCTTCTACCTTTTATCCCTCATTTACAATCCCAAACACCCGTCAACTCCCCACCTCCCTCCTTCTTCCTTCTGCTCCATTAAACCTGCAAAAAAAAAAAAGTCGTTATCGAAAGAACCTAATCGAAGCAAAAGGAGACAAGGTCATACTTTAAAGTCGAAATGGTGTACGTAATGTGGCAGATCAGACCAAAAAATGAAGTTGTCGACGTATCATCCTTATATGGTAAGTTGCTCTGTTTTCTTAAACATTCCTATTTTTCATTTTACCCTTGATTTATACTAAAATCCGCCAAATTTTGACTTTGTTATCATGTACAATTTTGACTTGTAGCGGGTGCACCCACATGGTTTAGTATTAAGCTTCATCATGGTGGGAAGTTTACTAAGTTACCTGACATAAAGTATACTGGAGGTGAAGTGCGTTATGTTGATTATGTGGACATAGATGAGTTTTCTGTACATGAACTTGATGCCATAATGCTTGACCTAGGTTACCCAGACCCACGGATGATTGAATTGAGTGTTGAATCCCCAGTGATATACTACCATTTCAGGATACCCAATGGTGACTTTCAATTTGGTCTTAGAGCTTTAGGGAATGATCAGGATGTTATCAATCTTTCTAAATTTATTCAAAATAACAAGTTGATTGAAGTGTACACAGAACATGGGAAGACAAATCTACTCACATACTTCATGTCTCCAAATGCAAAGGGTAAAGTTGTCATTGAGGAATTACCAGAAAATGATGATCAAGGGGCTAAATATGAGGCTGAAGTTCATGTAGAATCTCCATTGAGAAATATGAACCATGTCAATGATGAACCAATTGGTGAGTACATGTCTTTGATTCTTTTTGGGAGTAAAACTGATGCATTCTCTCCAGAGTATAGAAGGGGTAGAGTTGGGAATTCAAAAAGAGAGGAAGGTTCTTGTAGCAAGAGGCTTAATTTAGAGGATATTGATGATTTAAAAGAGAAGGAAAACACTAATGAGGGTGTTAAGGAGGTTCATGAGGCTGCAACTGTTGTTGAAGGATGCTACAATCCATTTACTTCAAATATTGCTAATGTAGGGGATGAGATGATTGGGGTTCATGATAATGACCATATTGATGGATGCTACAACACCCCACCCATTAATGATGATGAACAATATAATGAACTTTTTGACAACCTTATGGAAAATTTAAATGGAAGTGATGAGTATGTTGAAGAGTATGAAGGGGATGTTGAATCTGAAGAGAGTGATGAAGAGTATGAAAAGGATGAAGGTGATGATCATGATGGGAAACAATCAGAAAATGAAGATAAAGTGGATGACATAATGGATGAGGAGAACAATATAGAAGATGTTGATGTGGACATGGCAGACTTCTTTGTAAATGTTGAAAGTGATGTTGAAGGAGCATGTATTAATGATGGTCATGAACCTGAAGATATGGAAGTGATCAACAATGAGGAGTTCGAATCATTGGATGAAGGATCAGACCAAGACAGAGAAAGAAGAGCTCTCATAAGAAATTTGGGAAAAGAAAAAAGGTGCAACCTTGGGTCAGTACATATACAGTCATTCTCAGTGGGGCAAAAGTTTAAAAGTAAAAAAGAATTAAAGGAGTTAATTGATGTGCACGCACTAGAAACAAGAAGGAATCTATTCTTTAAAAAAAATGACAGTCAAAGGCTTAGGGCACAGTGCAGAGGAGTTGTACCTGTCATCAATAAAGGTCAAGTGGGGACTAAACCTACCACTTCAAAAAGCAAGGGCAAAGAAGTAAAGACACAAAAAGAAACATGTGGTTGGTATATACATGCATCTAGGTCAAACCCCGAATCTGATTGGTTTATAAGGACCTTAAACCAAACTCATACATGCTTACAAACAAGAAAACTCAGAGCTTGTACTGCTTCTTTAATCTGCAAGAAAATCATAGATCAAGTTGAGGCAGATCCGAAGATTCCTTTGAGAGCCATACAAGATCACTTTCAAAAGACCTACCAGGTGGGTATTTCAATGGATAAGGTGTTTAGGGCAAAAGATATGGCAAGAAAGCATGTAACTGGGGACTACACAAAACAGTTTGAGTTGTTGAGGGACTATGCTCTTGAACTTCAAGCTACAAACCCAGACACAACAGTCAAAATAGATGTGTGTCCTAATGGCAACCCTGCATCCCCAACAAGGCAGTTTAGAAGGATTTATGTATGCTTGGGTCCACTGAAAAAAGGTTTCAAAGCATGTCTTAGAGACTTAGTAGGTTTGGATGGTGCCTTCATGAAAGGCCCATTCCCTGGTCAGGTTCTTACAGCAGTTGGTCTAGATTCCAACAATGGAATTTATCCCTTAGCCTATGCAATTGTTGAGTCTGAAAACACAGCTAGCTGGAAGTGGTTTTTAGAAAACCTTGGGGATGACTTGGAGCTTGGGAGCAACTCAAACTATACTTTCATAAGTGACAGGCAAAAGGTAAATTAAAACTCATCAATTGATCATTTAGATTGTGTTTTTTTACCAAGAAATTAATTCTAATTATTGTATGTTGAGTCATGTAGGGATTACAAATTGCAGTTGATCAATTGTTTCCCAATGCTGAGCATAGGTATTGTATTAGACATATTCATGACAATATGAGAAAGAAGTGGGGGCAAACTGAGTACAGGGACCATTTATGGAGGTGTGCATCAGCAACCACCATTCCTGAGTTTGAACATTTGATGAAAGAGTTTAGTGAGTATGATAAGGAGGCATGTCAATGGTTGAAGCAAATTCCTCCTGTACATTGGGCAAGGAGTCATTTCTCAGGTAATTGTATATGTTTGCATATGGTAAAGATTATGTGTTTCAGTTATTTATCAGCATTAATTGTATGTTATTGTAATGTGCAGGAAGAGCTGTTTCTGATGTGTTGATTTCAAACATGTGTGAAGTGTTTAATGGGAAGATAGAGAAAGGCAGGGACAAACCTGTAATTTCATGTTTAGAGTTCATTAGGGAGTATCTAATGAAGAGGATATGCAATGTCATGAAGGCAATGAAGAAGGCTAAAGGTCCACTAACACCTACAGCAACAGACATCCTAGATGCAAGGAAAAAAGGTGCTTCACAATATATTGCTAGGTGGAATGGGGCAAACAAGTATCAAGTCACTGCAGCATTGCAAGATCAACATGTGGTGGATGTTAGGAACCAAACCTGTACTTGCAGAAAGTGGGAATTAATGGGAATACCTTGCAGGCATGCAATTGCAACTCTGAATGAAATGAGCAAAGACCCTGAGGCTGAGCTTGACATTTACAAGTGGGTACACAAGGTGTATTGGCTAGAGACATGGCAAAAAGCTTATTCATTTAAGGTGGAACCAATTAAAGGGAGACCCATGTGGCCTAAAAGTAATTGTCCAACAAAGCTAATCCCTCCTCCACATCACACTCAGGTGGGAAGGCCTAAGAAAAAAAGAAGACAAAGTGAGGGTGAAAGGTTAAGCAAAAGGCAGAAGGCAAGTGAAGGTGATGGAGTCAATGAGATGCAAGGAGAAAATTCCCAAGGGCCAAGAAATGATGGAGTGCAGAAGCTATCAAGGAAACATGTTAGTGTTACTTGTAGCAAATGCAAGAATAAAGGACACAACTCTAGGACCTGTAAAGGGCAAGGAGGGAATCAATCTAAGAAGTGATTGTGGTTATTTGTTGTGGTGCAATGACTATTTAGTTTCTTGTTGTTAAAAACTGTTTGTTTTTGAAAACTTTAGTTATGGTTTGATGATGTGGTTATGTATGGTGCACAGACACTTGTATGCTTAACTTGGTAATGGTTTTTGGTTCCACTCATGTGGTTAATGGAATGTTCATTTTGGTAAATTTATGACATGTATTTTGGTAATGTACTTTTGTTACATTTTGGTTCTATTTATGTGCTTATATCTGACAACTGATACACATTTTGAACACAACTGATACACATTTTGGAATTCATTACAAACATGATGAAGTCAAATTACAACAAAATTATACCATTTTTACCCTGCATCACTTGATCAACAAAAATCCCCACATTTGCCTAACCCTATCCCTTACATAGACCAAGTACTAAAGATAACAATCACAAACATAAACCAACTTGCACATAAATACATCTTCAGCTTGAAACCTTCATCCTTCAATGCATCACACCTTGCCTCCAACATGTTGTTCCTGCTCAAAAGTCCATTGCACTGTTCCTGTAACATGTTGATACTTCTTACCAGCCCATTACATCTTTCCTCCAATGTATTTATGTTTCTTAGAAGACCAGGTATGATGGTTTTACTCCTAGCACAAATAGGTGGGTCAACCCACCCGATAAACCCACAAACAGAATCCTTAGTAGGGCAAGCATAAAACCTCCTGCCGGGATTCAGTGGTGTCCAAGACGTTTTCACCAAAGCAAGCTTTCCACAAAAACAAACAACCATTGTTCGATTGCAAGTCAGGAAAGGAGAAATGGAAGATAATAGTCGTTGGGGAAGAACAGTTAAGAACGTTGGGGAAGAAGCTGGGAAAAGAAAACGATATATAAAGGATGTTTTATTTTTCCATATGCAAAAATGGTCCCTATAAGTAAAAGGACAGAAATACCCTCACGTACAAGGCACATGAGGGGGTTAACGGATTTTTTTTAACGGGTGTTAAGTATAGGGACCATTCTCACAAACAAACCAGTCCAAAAGGACCACAAAACCAAAAAACTCGTGGTTTGGACTTTTTTCCTGAAAAAATGCAAACCACAGGGACCACTTTTGCAATTTTGTCTTATATTTTTAATAATTATTTTAATAATTTATAGTTATTCAATATTCAATTACCTTCAATAGATAGCTTAAATATTTAGTTTATTTGGTTTTATAACGTAGGAGTTAGTAGTTTAGTATATCATAGAAACTATAAATTAAATATGTTTAATACATAGATATATTTATATAAGAATAATTTAACGTAACACATTAATTTCTAACCAAAAGAAATCTTTTCATGTCTTTATGGTCAGGTAAAAAAGTTTAAAGTACGTCTTTTATGGTTAGGTAAAAAAGTTTGAAGTATAGTAAAAAATTAAATCTTTTTATGTCTGGTTTGGTAAATTAAGTTTAAAATACAGTAAAAAATCAAATTGATAGACTATTCTAGGTCTATCCGGTTCCTGACAACCTTGGCATCTCCGAAAAGTCTCCAATCTCCATCTTCTCATACCAACATCAATCATCAATTTTTAGATGAGCACATAGAAGAAAAAGAAACCAATTCCAGTCCTCATCTCCAATTGTTTCCACATTTTGAAATCCAGGTCTAAACAAAAACAAACACGGATATCTCGACCAGGGCTAATGGTACATATTAACATGTTCAACAGAAAACCTTATTTTCCAGCTTCAACATGAGATCTCAAATATTTCATACATTTTACACTTGGTAACATTAACATCAAAAGTGTTCTTGGACTACAATAGAAACAACTCTTAGTTTTTTATTCACATGTTGCTTTCTTACTTGGACTGCATAGCGTTCAAAGGGTTGCTACTTGCTTTTCATCCACATCTGGCGTTCTGTATGGAGTACAATTAGCATGTTGAACTTTGCAGATCACTATATTATATTTATTGTTGATAGGTATCAGCATTTTCCCTTCATTTGAAGCATTTAGCATCCAAAAGAGTTTCACCCTCAAAAGGCTCAAAATCTTCAATCATCTGATTCACTCGCTCCTTCTGTGCCTCGTCAGAAAGGTCAACCTTGGTCCACTCATAAAGCTCCATGTCATAACACTCATCCATCACAAATTTTGGGATTTCAGTCCCACGGAAAAGCCACAAACCCTTGACCTTGAATGGAGGCTCGTTTCCAATAATCAACATCTTTCCAAACGCGTATTTCCTTGCAAGATCCATACGCTGAAGGAATCCACCAACCTTATTCATGGTCACAAATGAGACAGTGTTCTCATCATTGTACTTGTAGTTGCAAAACCAAAGAGAGTATCCCTCTGGATCATACATGTCCCAAAAACCTTCAACAAAATCAATAAATATATAATATATCAGCCAAGTGTTAGTTTGAAAAGACTGATCTTTTAGGAAAAAATAAAAAAATAAAAAATGAAAATACCTTTGATTGCAACCTCACGGAAGTTAGTTTTGGTGTTTGAGTAAAGCCTCTTCCAGTCATCCAAAACCATAGGACTCGGAGGCAATAAATCAAGAGGATTCTTTGCCTTAGGCTTTGGTGCCTCTTCCTCCTCTGGGGCAACTTCAGGCTTGGGTTTAGGGGCTTCTTCTTTCTTGACTTCCTTTTTAGGCTCGGGTTTTGGTTTATCCTCTGGTTTCTTGGCTGAAGGAATAGGAGGGAGAACTTCTGCTTGTTTGATTTCTCCAAATATCTTTCTCACGTTTGGTTGATTAACCATGGTCCAGAAATACCTCTCAAAATGAGGAAACTCAGAAGTGAAGCTCTTTGTCAACACCACTTTAAACTTGAATGCCAAGTTACATATCATGATGATGTCAGCCAAAGTCACGGAATCACCAACCAAAAAAGTGTGTGATGCAAGATACGTGTTTAGAGCACCAAGACCTCTTTTCACAGCAGAGATATAATTCTCCTCAACCTTCAAATCATACACACAAATTTATCATTTGGACAATTTCATAAATACTAATGGAGAAGTCAATGATATATCAAAGTAAACTAATAAAAAAATAATATAAAATTAAATTTAGAGGAATAGAAGTTTCTGACTAACAGGTTTGATATAGGGGGAATATCCAACTCTTGGCATGGCCCATCCTCTCAAATTAGCATCAAGCTCCAATGTAGAAAAGTCTATCCATTGCTCAATTTGACCCTGCATATATATATATATATTTTAAAAAAGACATGCTTCATTATCTGTTATCTTTATTCCTTCATAATGAGAAAATAACCAAAAAAAACCTACATATTCTATCGGTGAAGACCCCATGAGAGAGCTTTCAGGCTTCAAACTAGCAACTACAGCAACCAAGAATCCAAGATAACAAAATAAGCTCAATTACTCAAAATCAAAAGAGGATTAAAAACAATGACTAATTGATTTCTCACCATATCGAGCAATTGCATTACTTTCAAATATAGGGCCATCTGGAGTCTCAAGGACAGGAACCTGCATTAATGATGAATCACAGGGTGTAACAGATTAAATAAGATTTTGTATTTTGTAAAAAGTGTTAATCGGATTATAAATAAAAAACTATACCTTTCCAATAGGGTTCATTTTAATAAACTCAGGAGTTTTATTTGACACACCCATCTGAAAGTTTTCAGCCATTTTGATTTCAACACCAACATATTCTGCAGCAATTAATGTCTTGAAAACATTCTTGTTGTGGGACCCCGCATGTATAATCTGCAACAAGCACAATACATCTATCAATTGATCGCAAACAAACAATAAAATCTCAAATTTAATAGATCTGATGTTAAAAAATCTCTACAAATTAGCATAAAAGAAAAGGCAACATTAACAGAAGTTTATTAAATTTGTTGTAAAATACACGAACTTGAAAACTTAGGAAAGGTAAGGTTATGCCACTATAACTAGCCAGAGAAATCATAAGGTTAAAATAAGGTATATATAACCATGATTAACGTTCTGAATAAAGCTAAAACAATTCATAAATATCCTTACCTAATACCAACTATTTATAAAGAGTTAATGATTTCTTTATGCAACATAGTTAAATTTATGCAAAGGAATGGGCTTCTTCCCAATTTATGTAACAAACGTTCAGCTTGTTGACTTGTTGCCAGCTTTTAACAATTCATAGAGCAATCCACTTCATTGCATATTGTGGTAAAAACGTGTAACTTAATTAATAAGGATATACAGTACCCACTAAGTGTTCTTAACCCATTTTAAAAATATATGTCGATCAAGGTTATAGTTTAATCGGGTAAAATTAAAATATGCTAAACTACAAACTGATCGTGTAGAAAGTGAAAACCTTACAAGTGCTTTTGTTGAAAAAAAATAGATAATATTTAAACTAATATGAATTGTGTAATCATGTTTAAAGCTTTAATTATTCATAGAACTCATGAAAATGGACAAAGCGACTGGGAGATCGTACAATAAAGTTTCAGTGAGTTCTTCATATCACGATCAATGCGACAAAGTTGAAATCAGTAAGCGAAAACAAAAGGAACGAACAAAATGCACATCAATACCCTGATCCGCACAGTTTGTATATACAAAGAGATATCCATCACAAACTACGCACAAAAAAACATGTACTAATAAAAACTAACACAGTAAGGACTCAAAACTAGCGCAATAAGGAACGAAAAACTCACCAGCGACATTGCTTAAGGAACAAACGATCGCCTTCTACAGAAACAAAATAGACCCAATACTTGAAATCTGGATTTAAAGAAATCTGAGATGAATCAGTGAGATAAAAAGTACACTGAATATTTGATCAGAGAAAAAGAAATGCAAATCTTGGGGTTTTGGTAGGGAGATAGGGTTTTCAAACAGAAAAGCGGGCAAACCGGAATTTTTACTCGGTTCATATCTCTTTTAAATCCGGTCGTTTGTTGGTGTACAAACAAACCGGATTACATCAAAAATGCACATCAATGGTGGGTTTGAGAGAATTAGGAACAGAGATTTGGTAGAAAAATTAGTCCTGGTGTTTAAGTGAAAACTGATATTTGTCTATTTATAATATGAAGCTACGAGAAGAAGCAGAAGGATCTGTGGCGCAATGGTAGCGCGTCTGACTCCAGATCAGAAGGTTGCGTGTTCGATTCACGTCAGGTTCACTTTTTGACAAAAATCAAGAAGTTTAAGTTTATTACATTGTCTTTCTTATTTTTAACATTTTAATTTCATTTTTATGCAACACACACGTGCGTCTGCTTTAGGATGAGCTATAGCTAGAAAACTGAATTTCCATGTTATTTGCCAAAATCGTATCCATGTCACTGTGTACATGACAAAATTTGTTAAATAAGATTAATTTGTACAAGTTAAATTCCATTTTTAAAAACGTGGCTGGGAATCATGGCTTTAAATTAAATATTAGTGATTCGATACCTACTAATTATTTTGCTTTTCTTATAAAGATTAGTCCAAAACTATTTCATCTACAAGAAAATTTGATTTATAGTGTTATTTATATTTTTCTGGTTTAAACCCATCAATGAAAATGTGATTTATAATGTTGTTTTCAAAAAAAATGGTTTTACCATCCAGAAAGAGCTAGCGGCGCAGCTTGTTGCTCGTTTGCCTTGAATCGATATGTATTGAACTGGCATTAGATGTTTATTAGATTTAAAATTAATTCTTGATTTAATAATCGAAATTTATTTGAGATGTCCAAGCTCATAAGGGGCATGATTTTTATTAAAATTTTTGGTTTAACCCATCAATGAAAATGTTATTTTTCTCGTTCAAACATGTTTTCTGAAAAACATATTTTTGGTTCCGCTCTGTGCCTAGAATATATTTGGACCTGCTCTGCTCTAATAAAAAAAAAAGTCTTCAAATTCACGCTAAGCGTGATCGGATCTAAAAAAAGTTATTTATACGTTGATGATATTAAATTTTGTTTGAATAGATTGAATAATCAATTTACTGGGAAAGGTAGGGATAAACCATTAAACAAAACCTATGATGTAAAACAACCATGAAACATTCCTAATTAATGAGCCAAACTCTAGTGTTTCATGAAATATTCATGAGAAAATGGTTGCCCTTTGACACCGAAGAAAGTTGAATCAAGGAAAGTATTGTATTTTCTCATAAGAGAAGTTCACCTTATGTACAAGTATTTATTAAACAAAATAATTTCTACGGAGGAAATACATAATTATGTTGTTGATGAGAAGGCCATTGCGCTCCTTCCCTTGAGCAAGGTAGAGGTGCTGAATGTGCAATGTAGGTAGGGTATTGATGCCCCGGCATCAATACCGAAAAATCCGATGCATAAGCCGCTTGTACCTGTCACAAATGAAGCCACAATCTGCTATAATGGATTGTACTATATAAAAATAAAAGTGTTATAACCATCTTTTTGCAAATGATGGATTGTAAGATGGTGTCTAAGTCCTACATGAGTTCTTTGGAAAGAACATTTTAGGACTCCATATATCTATCAAATACAACTCATCATTGCATCCGACATGCAAACTTACATGTGATTGTGGACCTGCAAGTTTTTGCATAGGCCTAGAGTCCTCATGAAGAGAGTGACTGGTGCCATGTTGAGGCAAAGGGAATGAAGCATTTGGTCTAAAAAGATGTTCGAATATTGCCATTATAAGAAACATTGATATTAAAACTGCGGTAGCAACAAAACCAAAAGAAATTGCATTCATTGATGTCCCAAAGTTCTTCCATGGGCCTTCACCATCACCTCCTGTTTGAGGCGGGCTATGTGGCGAATCCGTGTACATGTTCCATGCCTTTGATCTTTCTGTATTGAACTCATCCATTCTCCTGCAAAATCACATCGCAAAAAAATGTAAAAATCTTCCCAAATATAGTAAACTTTACACGACCTATGCAAGAACTACCCAATAAAACATCAAGAGATGGTGAAAACGGGATCTTTCCCTCACTTCGATAAAATTTATTGGGAATCAAAACCGGTTTTGTTTTGTTTTGGTTCCCATCGAACCCAAATATCAGTGTTTATAGGAACACGAGAAGAGTTTTTGTTTTTAAGACAAAGAAAGTCGATTTAGTTACCCGTTTCCAAAGAAAGATGATGGTGTATTGGCTTGAGACCCCACTACTTGTGAAGCTCCGGTGTATCGTGACACGATTGAGTTTCGGTCTTCAAGAAAGAAATGCTTTGTTCTTGTATATAGATGAACACACGAGACTCCAGTATAATTGTAATATATGTTAACTCGAAGAAAGCACAAGAGAATTCACAGTACGCAATGATACTTGATGCCTAACTTGATGAATACTATACCTTACTTGTTACCTGGAGAAGCCATAAGAAATATAATGAGGAAAGCCTTATAAGAAATCAAAAGCATGGATGGGCCTTTGTTGTCTTGGAGAGCCACGACAAGTATGAGCTATTGGTCCTTTTTTAAAGCATAATATTTTCACTTTTCCCTTGTATTATTTTACAAAAACAAAAACTCATGCGGGGTCGATTTGGGTTTTGTATTAATCAATGAGAAAACTGTGGAAAGTTGCTTTCAATGTTGTATCTTTAAAGAAACATATGAGGTTTGAGAGTTTAAATTTAAGTAGGATCATAAGACTCTTATCATGTAGTGTATACAACTATACATGATTTACATGCCAAATCAAAGATTGTTGGGGAATAAAGAGCCCACTCAAATAAGTGTGAAGCACATACGTTACCCAATTTGATCATATGGGAGTGATAATTGAAGGAGGGGAAACATGGCACATTCCATTAATATAAAACAAAACGTTGAAGGAAAGCTGCCATAAAGAAGTAAAGCGACCTATTTTATAAATTATTATTATCTTTCCAAAATTTTAGATGGGTGCCAAACATCCATCCCCACACAAAAATTAACATTATAATAAAAAATAAAAAAATAAATAAAAGGAGAATCAATGTTGGATATCATACAGCTATGCAACCATGATTGAAGCCAAGAAACATATGCAACTAAGAAGTTGATGGTGACCACTTCAACACATCTTTTGTTTTTAATAGAGGCGTTCTTTTGATTAAAGTTTTGTTTGTTTTTTAACTTTTGCATACTGCTGCAATAAGTTAAAGTAAGACGTGAAGGGGTTTGAAGTAGACGATCAAGTGTTGCGTCACACAACACACACGCATCAGTTTTTAAGTTAGAAGTCTTCTGAAAAACAAACAGCTGCGAATGGCCAAAGTGTTGCACGTGTGCTGCGCGACGCAATAATAAATGGTTAGAAGTAGTTTTTTTTTTTTAAAAAAAAAAAAAAAAACAAACACCACATAAGTAATTACAATAATAAAATAAATTAAAATTGAATTTGAATAGAATAAATTACAATACATTTCAAAAAGTATATAAAATCACCGTAATTTGAGAAAATTTATAATTTTATTTCGAAAGATAACTATTACTCCTAAAGTATACTTATGCATTTGAGTCTGTTCAGTCGTGTCTATCGATGATTCCTTAAATAATTAAAAATATAACATATTCGAAAAACAAATTATTAATTATTATAATTTTAAATAATCAGAAAGTATTTATTATTTATTTATCTAACTATATAGTCTTATCAAAAGTATGTAATTAAAAATATTCATGTAAGTTATATGGACACCATTTATTGAGATTACATGTATGTGTGACAAGTATACGACCATATAAGCAAAATTTTATGTATTTACTACGCTATTTTGTTGTTGATTGATCAACTTTTCTTTGGGCTAAGGATCTATCAACCCATTCGATGGTTTTTTGACAAAGAACTACATGGGGTTATTGTAATTTGTGGTGACATTTTTTTTTTGACGACTTGTTTCCCTACCAAAGTTAGTTTGGTGGTTTAGGTTTGTACTTGGTAATAGAGACTACTTCATATAGGCATGAGCAAAAGAACCGAACCGGTTGGAACCGGCCCGAACCGGACCGGAACCGGGAACCGGCTTCGGCCAAAATTAAGAACCGAATCGGCCCGGCGGTTCCACCGGTTCCCGGTTCCTACCGGTTTTTGTCGTGTCTTCAAATGTTGGAACCGGTCCTTGAAAAATAGCATCATACGGTTCCGGTTTTTTCCGGTTCTAGCGGTTTTTTCCGGTTCCGGTTATATCGGTTCCGGTTCCTACCGGTTCCCGGTTCCAAAAATCCACAAAAATAATGTCCCGGTCCCGGCCCGATCGGTTCCATCGGGTTCCGGTTCCAGTACCGGTTCCGGCCGGTTCTCCGGTCCATATGCTCATCCCTAACTTCATATGTTTTTGTTGCCTCAATGGTCCAACATTGGGTGTTACAATATCACATCTTACAAGATAGCGACATATGTGGTATGAATTTTGATTACGTTTGTGACTTGGCTTCTCTTCGTAACACGCTTCTAATGTCACACTCCAAAACCAGAACGGCTGAAACGTTCGGGGGCGGAGGACGTCATGTATAGTATCATAACAATGCAAAGTAGTAAATAAGCAACGACATCATCCATTGCATTAATAGTATAATTTCATATAAGTGTGTTCTTTTCATAGTAATAAGACACCAAAAATGAATAATCAAAATAAAAGACGAGTCTTGACTGCGCTCCGTCTTCTCAAAACCTGCCATCAGTATCTGTCTACTGATGACCCGAGAATACAAGTTATTTTGAAAGCGTAGATCAGCATTTAAGCTGGTGAGTTCATAAGTATTTAGTGTCAATGTTTGTATAAGTTTACTGAAAATGTTTGTGAATGCTCAATCTAAATGTTTGTATATGTTTGAAAACTCCTAGAAAATCCTATATTTTCTACTAGTATAAAAAGTAGTCTTCTACCAAGACCCGACTGTTTTGTATGTTTGTTTCTCTGTAAAAGTGAATGTTTTTCCCAAATATAACTATCATTACCAAAATATAGTTTTATATTACCCTTTATGTGAGAAGATCACAATTTGAATATAATGGGAAAATGTATGTGTATTGCAATATTATTTGTATTAACTACTGAAGTAATAACTACCTTAAAACCAATGGTTTAATTAAGGCAAAATGTGATAAGATTGTTACCATACTAAATTGACTATAACACGACGATGAAAGACGTCAGAAGAAATGACATTTGGCACCCGTAGACTTGCAAATCCCACTATATCGAACAACAAGGGTGTAGGATAGTCAATCCAGTATAGATCTATACGCAAACTCACGCTCTCCCTCCAGGGGATTCTGGTTACAAAACGTGACACAAGGAAATGGTCGTTGTGTCATGAATTAGTATCTCACATTATGTTATTTTTGAACCTTGTTATAGTATACTTGTTATAGTAATAGTATTCTATGTATAGTATCCTCTGTATAGTATTCTCTGTATAGTATTCTCTGTTATAGTATTCTTTGTTATAGTATTTGTATATGATAATATTCTCCTAAACTATACATGTTATAGTTTACTAGTGATTTCTGTAATTAAATAAATGACTGAATGTATACCTTTGCTACCCAAAGGTACTGAATTGATTGATAGTACTTTTATATCTACATATAACCGATACCCTAAGTCCACATCCAAACAAGGAAAATGAAATAAAGCGAGTTAGCAGTCCTAAGTCCTTTAAACATTATTTATATAACTATATATATATATATATATATATATATATATATATATATATATATATATAGATATAGACATGCTTTTGACAATATATAAGTTTAAAAGAGGTTTTGTAATACATTTAAAGAGTTTTGAACAATAAATAATAATGACTTGATGTCAGTTTATAAAATGATTTAAAATTAGTTTGTTTGATAACACGGTTTAAAGTAGTTGAAATCCTTTGTTTGAAACACAGTTTGAAGTATATGAAATCCTTTATTTGAAACACAATTATAAATCACATGTGATTGATTATATAATTAACATGTTTTGTACTTGTATGCCCCCCCCCCCTAAAAGCATTTAAAATCATTTAAAATATAATTTAAGGGGTATGAACTCACCTGTAGTGAGTGATGTGAATGAACGATCGGTATAGGATGCTAGGTGTCAAGTGAAGACTTGAGCACACACACAGATCCTAGTTAGCACATAATGACACATGTATGTATCTAATTAGTGATTAAACAACTAATTAAGCAAGTATAGATGCCCTAGGACATGGAAAACACTTTGATTCGAGTGCTAGGAGTACAAAGGGTTGCATCTAAGGGGTGTAGGGCCTGACTTAGGAGTTTACGGCCCAAATGGTAATCCCCATGAGTTCACGGCCATTGGTTTACGGCCCAATGAGTTTACATCCCTAAACTCATGGTATTTGGTACCATATTGTGTGTTAAGGTCTTACAAGTCATTAAGAAGTGTTCTAGGTTCAAGTCCAAGCCTTAGGAAGGAGTGGTGGCACAAATGCACCACAAATTAGGGTTTACGGCCCAAGGAGATTGCCTTGGCTGTAAACACCTTTTGTTCTTGAGTTTCTTGATGTTTTCTAGTTGTTTAACAAATGATTCAAGCATATAACAAGCTAAGGGTAGTGTACTTACTTATAAGAAGCTTGTAAGGGTGTTTAAGGTCCAAGAACACTAGTGTGTGTTCTTGGTGCTCTTGGTGAAATGAAGAACACTTGAAGATCTATCAAAATGAAGAGATTTCATGGATGAAATCATGTACAATCACTAGATAAAGAGATTTAAGAACAAATCAAAGGAAAGAATTCTTACATTTTTGGAAGATCAAGATGAAGATCGTATGTTACTTGAGATAGAATTCGGGTTGTTGTAGTTTGATTCCATGGAGCTTAAGAGCCTAGTTCCTCAAGTGTGACACCTCAAATGGTTCATACAACATCAAGAACACTTGGAATAACATGAGAATAAGGATACTTATACAAAACTCGGTTTTTCCCTCTTGTGTACACACACTAGTCACAATAGTTCCACTAGTATCATTTCATGAATCATAGACCTCTTTATATAGTGTGGAGGATTAGGGTTACATTCATGTAAACCCTAATACCCATGACCTTTCATTTCCATAGGATCTATGGGTTAAACACTCCATGGACTATCCATGAAAGCTTAGCCCAACCTAAATGAACTTGGCCCACCAACTATATATAAGAGTCCATATTTAATTAGTTCCTTTTGATCACTAAATTAATTCTTGATCAATATTAATTAGATAATATGATTTCATATTATTGTATTAGAAATTATAATATATTAATATAAATCACTAGTATCCTTTTTCTCATTTTGTCTATCAAATTGTTTTGATGCCATGCAACCCAAATGGACCATGCCAAGTCGGGTCGAATACATACCAATAATAATTTAGGCTTAGACATCTAATCCAAAATTTTAGTGAGAGGGAACCAGATTGGGTTCAGGGTTTTGTTCGACAGCTAGCGCTCGGCAGTATATTCATCACGAGTGTGTTGTTATTAGGCTTATGTGGTGGATACGTGAGTTGGGGGTCATTGTCAAAGGCTGATGTTCCAGTTGTCAGGGAGTTCGTTGATGCATTCCCATAGGAGTTACCCATTTGCCTCCTAAGAGGAAGGTTGAGTTTAGGATCGACTTTGTGCGAGGTACGGCCCCTATTGCCAAGGCGATGTACCAATTTGCACCGCGTGAGATGCATGAGTTGTCATCTCAGCTACAGGAGTTGCTAGGCAAGCAGTTCATCCGTCAGAATAGTTCTCCGCAGGGAGCTCTGATTTTATTTGTCACGAAGAAGGATGGTTTCATTGGAGCTAAACAAGTTCACGGTGAAAAACCATTATCCCCTACCACAA